CCCAGTGATACTCATACCTTCAGAGAAAGAACAAAATCAGTAGTCATCTCTCAGATTACCACCTTGTTTCACTAGTTAAACTGGACTTGCTGAAGAAAAATGAGAGCTCTACATATAACTGTGTATCTGTCAGGACAGTGGAACGTCATCTGGTAGCTGACAGGCCAAAAAAAGAACAGAAGAGGGAAATGCAGAAGTTTCGTAGTCTTGATGGCGGCTATGTCAACAGGAAGTGAACCCCCTCGTCTCTTCCTCCTGATTAGAGACTGAGCGCAGAAAGTCTTGGCAGGACAGAGGATAGGGGAAGAGTCTAACTAAACAGCTTCTACAGGGTCCACGAGCAAGACTGAATTCCCGTGTTCCTCATGTGACATTCAGATGACTGATTTGAAGCTGATTTAACTTAACCATCTCACCACTCAAAATGTGATCTGGGAATCTGATTCTGCAGTTAACTCAGGACATCAGGTCTTAACAGCTGGACCAGGTCTCTTATGTAAAAGAAAGCTATTTTTATCTCAGTGACACTTCCTGGTAAAACAACGGCAAATAAATAGATAAAAATTTAATTGTGGAGATGATAAAACACAGGAAGTGGACCCGCATGAAATGAGTCAGCTGAATTTTGCTTTATCTGACACACAGTGCAAAACAGATTTAGCTTTTTCTTTTTGTTGGTCTTTTTTTTTGTTTGGGGGGGGGGGAATTAAATCCCCAACAAAAACATTATGTTTTGGTATCAAACACTAAAAAATGTTTCTCTCATAGCTCAATAATAACCCAAGTCTTAAAAGTCAAAAATCCACTTCTCTGAAGTGTGAAAATATATAAATAATCTCAAGTACAGTCAAAGTTCAAAATAAGATGTATATGAAATTTAAACTAAGGCATAAAAATTTAACTTTACTCTGCCTCTGAGTTTTGCTGGCCGGTCTAAATTTCTATTGGCTTGTGAAAAAAAGTTTTAACGTTTTGTTTTTAATTAAATTAATTAATACAATCTAATGTTATCAAACTTTTTATTGTGTTTGTATTGCAGGTCTGTTTTTAGTCACAAATGTGGCTCACATTTCCATGGCAACACTTACGTGCTACAGAGTAACGTGTTAAATGAAGCACTGGAGCAGAATTTGTGTCGAGAATTTTTTATAATCAAATTACTTGACTAATCGCTGCGGCCCTAGTCTCGGTGTTGTTGTGTTGAATTGATAAATCTTACAGATGGCTCTTGACATTATCCATATACGCATGACAGTGGGCCATCGTGTACATCATTAACCACACAAATCGATAAAGCAACTAAACACCTGTGGTTTTCCTGCTGTGTCACAAAGTGACTTCAGTTAAATATGCCCTAGTGAAAATACTTTTACTCTAAATTAAGAGCACAAACATGAGGAGGACAATGACTGGCGTTACCTTGGTCCTGCAGACATCACGGAGCAGCTCGTCTCGGTGCAGAACTCGGTGATGGTACCGTACAGCATGTTGATCTGGTTGAAGAAATCCACCGCTAATGGAAAGAGTGAATTCTTATTTGTTTTATCCAGAATTTATGCATGTTATTAATATGATGAAAGAACTGGGAGAGGGGGTTTGCAACAAATTAGATTATAATATGTATTTTAGTATCATCTACACTCACAGTTTAATAGATTTAAAAGCACAAAATGCACATAAGAAATATATTTAAACATACCATATTTTATTAGAGATAATATATAAAACATGTAATTCTACAATCCCTGCTTAATGCAACAACCAATTATTTACCAGTTTGCCAGCTGTGTGCACTCTTCTCTAACCCTACTACTCTTTTCACACCACAGGGTGGTGCAAATGTGCAGCACCTGTACAGAACTATTTTATTTATGATTCATACTAACACTGGGCACAGGTACAAACTTTAACTGGTTAGTTGGATACTGTGTGTGCAGGCTCATTGTACTAAGTCACTCACTATTCACTGCAATCCATTCATTGAGATCCTCTCCTTCTGGCAGCATAACAGCCTGTCTCAGGTTTCCGCTACCCAGCGTTGCCTCTGCATGTTTCAGCAGCTCATACTGGTGGGAGCCCTCTGGGATGTTCTTCTTCGGCTTGAAGGTCTTAGATGAGCGACTACCACTGGAAAGAAATCAAAGTGGATCTAAGAAATATTGTCTTCACGGTGGTCATGTGGCACAGGCCATATCTGTCTGCCCCCTCTCCCCTGCGGGGTTAACATCTGGCCTTCAAATGTTGACAATGTAATTTTTACATCTTAAATATCTGATATCTGATAAATATACTGTTAACTGGACATGTTGATCTGTCTGTGTCTGATCCCTGCATGGCTGACTTTCATGTGTTTTCCTTCCTCTTTTATTTGTTTCCTTTATAAGGTCTTTTGGGGTAAGACTGTCTAATCAAATGTGACAGAGAGCTGAACACAATAAAGACTGAACTTGTGATAGTGAACTATATAAACAACAGACTTTTCTCTAAAGTGTTGTTTTTAAAAGGCTAATCTTAGAGCAGATCCTCTTCCTGGGCCTTGATCTACACACAGGAGGACTCCTATTCATGTGTGCACTCAGCAGATGCAAGCTTGGTGGTGGACATCTATGAACTTCACGTTGAATCCAAACTCGTGATGGATGACCGCTGCAGCGTTTGCTATCAAACCAAAAACTTTGGTTTCCACAGCGTCAGAGCCGTGACTCAACCACATCATAGTGTATACCCACTGACAGGAAATGCACCAGTGTCACGGTATTACTGTAAACAACGGAAACTTAATTAGCGGCGTTGCTTTACACTTTATAACAACCCAGCGAGATTAGACCTCCAAAGGTGTGGCTCATGACTAAAAATTGAATGTCTAGCATCGCTTAAGTCAATTAGAGAGTGACTATATGAGCTAAGCTGGCTAACCAAACGCGAGTTAGCGCTGTTCACCAGGCTAGCAAAGTTAGCACGTACTAACTCACTACTTTAAAAAGTTATAGTTCGTGAGTTGTGGCGAACTGTAAATCAACAGTTTCCCGATCATGTTACAATCATCAGTGGTAGCTCTGCGTAAGAAATGGGTGACTTTAGCATAACTTAAAACTATACTAAGACTGGGATGCGGTTAGCTGACTTCTTTATGTAGCGGTGTCTTATTTTATCGCCGCTTACTTCCCTTGACTGAACTTCGTAGAAGCGCAGCTAACATTAACCGCAAGCTCCGGCTGTAACTCAACGAGCGCTTAAAAAAACAAAAACATTTTTTTACTTACAACAGGAAGCTCATCTTGGCGCAGGAATCGTTTAAGACCCTCGATTTGAACTCTTGAAGCTGGTTTAATAAACAAAAACGCGTTTTAGAAGTACACTGTGCGAGGCACTTGTCAGTGGTGCCTGCTAACAGCAACAGTGAAGGCTAACATGAACTGCACCCACAGACCCTCTTCCTCTGTCTGCTGTCTGCAGCAGCGCAACCGGTAGTCTGTCGCCCCCTTCAGGCTGCCTGTGGGTACTACTACGTACATATTCCAAGATCAAGAACTTTCTGTTAGAAAGCTGTTACTTTCTTATGTGTCATCCTGGAGCAATGTGACATACTGTGACACAGAACATTCCCCTTAAGTTCTATATGATTTTTTGATTGTTTAATATGAGGACAGTGAGACAGCAGTGAGTTGTGAGTTTGAAGACAAAGTTAGAGAGGTAGGGCTGAGAGGGTTTGGACATGGTGCAGAGAAGAGATAGTGGATATACTGGACAAAGGAAGGTGAATATGAAGCTGTCAGCCAGGAGAAAAAGAGGAAGACCCTTAGAGAAGGTTCATGGATGTAGCGAAGGAGGACATGAAGAGGGCTGGTGTGACAGAGGTAGATCCTAGGGACAGGGTGAGACAGAGTCAGATTTCAAATCAAACAATGGATATGTGATCTAAGTGCAGACTGTCAGCTTAAATCTTTTCCATTTTCAGTCAAATAACAAGCTATTTCATGGCCAGGTGAGGCCTGTTCCCTCATTATAGCAAAACTAATTAAGCTGATAAAAGATCTGGAGTAAAAGGTCTAAAGTCTTGGATTTGCATTTGGAACTCGCAATATGAGTCAAAAAAAGACACATCAGTGCAGGTGAAGGCCTCATTAGTCTGGAAACACAAACTTATCAGAGAGATATCAAAATATAAGATAAATAAATATATAAATGTATATATATAAATCAAATAAATAAATCTTTGGCTATATGAAACAAGATAAACTTGTACCTGAAAGATGGAGAAGAGAAGAGAGAGAGCATATGATCTGAAGCATACAACATTATCTGTCAGAGAACCTACATATTCATTTATAGCCCACCCTGCATGTGCTCTCCAGATAAGGAACTACAGTACATCTCGGTACTCTCCAAGCTCTAAGCTAGGCTGTTAGCTTGTGGTTACACCAAAGAGTGAGAACAAACAGTGGCAAACAGAGAACAGACCAGTGTGTTTCAAAAGGTTCAGTCGGGTATTACATTTTTCCACAAAACCTCCAGCAGACACTGGGGTTAACTCCCCAAAATCTACTGCCTTAGAAATGTTTTTCCTTTAAGAGCCCACAGTTTGAAATAAACATGAGTACAGATAAGACCTACATTTAATCAAGTGCTTGACTAAAGTACAATTCTTGTTATGTGTACACAAGTGAGTATTTAAATGTATAAAAATCTGCTTTAATACATCCAATAGATAAATGTGCCATGTACGCCATTATATTTGTAGTTGTTTTTTGTTATGGTTTCAGAAAAAAAAAAGTTTTAAAGGATGTTAAAGCTGCCAATAGGGAATAAAGTAATTACAATGGCTCAACTTGACCAAGAGAGCCATGATTATCATTTAGTAATCTAATAATAACAATCCAATTTCAGTGTTGGTTTTAGTTTTCTTATTATAATGTGGGCGTTAAGAGTTAGAAGCAAGATTTAGGAAGTTCAGAAAATGTATTACAATACAAACACAACACTTCATTTGATAGACTCGATATTAATCAATCAATCAAAATTTATTTATATAGCACATTTTAAAGACCGAAGTACAGCCAAATGCTTTCCAGTAAAATCATGATACAGATAAAAAATCACAATATAAAATATAAATTACAGATATAAATAAAATAAATAAAATATAAAATAATTACATAATCTAAATGCAAAGCCAGATGTAAATTACCCTAATTAATTTACACCAAAGCCTCATTAAGCTGTCTAGGTGTTTCAAATCTGACCACACTGCCAAAAAGTAAGAATGTTTTCTGTTTATTTTTTATTTCAGTCAGTCTTGTAAGTACAAATTATTGTTTCAGATTTTTTCCTCAAATGTTTATTTTTATTTTGGTTAATAAACGTGTCCATGAACAAATTTCTGAAAAGTGACACAGACAACATGAGTAAAATGAAAGTCGGTCAACTCGATGAGTGCAAAAGCGTCCTGTGGCTGCAGAACAAGCCCAAATCATCACCCCTCCACCACCGTGCCTGACAGCTGCTATGAAGTCTTTGTGCTGATTTGTTGTGTTTGATTTATGACAAACATGGTGCTTTCTCCTGGCAACTCTTCCAAACTACATTTATAGTATGAAGAACAACTCTATAGTTCCTTGTTGCCTGTAGCCTTTGTCAGAGTCCTCAGATGTTTGCTATTCTTCGTGCACCTCAGAAGTGGGCGAAGCTGAACCAGAAACCTCTAACCTGTTTCCACAAGGGTAGAGGGAAAAACAAGCCATGATTGTTCACTTTTTTACTAACTATACTGTAATGACCTTTAACATTTAACATGCTCACTGAAGCCTGTAGAGTCTGTGATGGGGTTCTTGGGTTTTTGCAGTGTCTCTGAGCATTGCAGGGTGTGACTTTGGCCTGCGGTGAAAACTGCAAAAAGTTCTGTGAAAATACAAAACAATTAAGTTAGTTTTGCAAGTATATAATATGCTTAAGTTTTTTTTTTATGAATTAGCTTTTAAGCTTTCAGTTGATTCAAATGTTTTTACCACACCTAGACTTGGTTTCAATGTTGTTTTAGTTAACTATGATGATCCTGGTTGTTTGAACGCGGAAACTGTACGTGAAAAATACCTTTAAAGCTCTAAAAACAACAACAACTCTGCCCTGGTACCGCTCATGAACTTCCACGCCTGTGCCACGCAGGGCTGCTGTAAAGGGGCAGGGCTCTGGTATCCGCAGCAGAGGGCTGGTGACTGATAGCAGTGACGTAGGCAGCTTACACGAGCGGGGGGGAGGTGTTTAAAGCCGCTCTGCTCCTCTTCCTCCTTCCCAGCCTCCCTCCGTCAGACCCGCTGTAGCTGTGTCTCGTCTTCTGTGAGCCGGTGAGAAATGGCAGCGCTCAGGACTCTCAGGAAACTGTGCCAGCACACACAGCACCAAGTCTGTAAACTGCACACGTCCGCCTCGAGGTGAGTCTCCTCCGCACATCTGCTGCGATCTGAGCGGCTTTAACGGTCATTTTACGACCTCTGAGGCGGCTCTGTTACCTCACTCGGTGGGAGTGTTTGCTTCTTTTTTGTTTTGTTTTTTTCCGTGTGCCCACTTGTTTGTAGGCTTTTGTGTACGCGGATGAGGTCGCTGGGTTTTATTCTGCTGGCTTTTATTGTTTTATTGCACTAAACGTCCTCAGTGGAACACATTTCGCAGCGCCCCCAGCGTCAAGCCGGTAATATTGCAGGTGTAGATGAGGTGTGGGGGGGCTGGCTGATGAAATCTGTGTGAATGCTTGCACCCAGTGGCAGGCTTCAGGTGGAGTTCGAGATGTAGTTGTGCACACCTGGGGAAAAATGAACACGCAGGGCAGATCTGATCACGTTGTCTGTAAAACCTGATATAACACGCTGAGAGTAATGCTGCATCAGCCAGTCAGCAAGTGTCTGCATGTGCAGGTATTTATTGGAAACGTGCTGAGTGCAGTATAACTACATGCAATTAACTAATCTTTCACACGCAAAAAAACTACTCCTAAATCTCGTGGGTCCTGCACATGATCTGCCTGATTTACAAAGACACAAGGCTGATAATTTAGGACATATGTGTGTGTGATTATCTTACATCACTGCTTGTGAAATTGGATCTGGTGGGATCACGTTACTTCAAGTTAATTTCATTTATATATGCCAGGAAAATTTCTGCAAACTCAGCTGCAAGAGGTACTAGTGCTGTGTTATCATGTGCAGAGTAAACGATAACAAAAGATAAACATTATGAACATGAGTGATTCAAACATTTGTAAAGAGAGATCTTTCCTCAGCCTGTCGGGGGATTTGAACTTCTATTAGCCCTGTAACCTCGACACATTGCGTCTGGGACCTGATACACTGGTCCCATTCTCCCCAAAACACTCAATCCTTTTCTCTGAGGATTTAATTACTTTGGACAGGATAAAAGTGACGGTTACATCACTGTCAATGGCTCATTACTCTTCAGTTATTAGCCCCTGCGCTCTGCATGTCATTATATAACGGATAACCATCTTTGACACTTGTGTAAAGAGGACAAAACGGTGCGGCAGCAGTTTGTACAGTCCTAAATACTGTACATGAGTTTTAACCATCGAATATCTCCGACCGTGCCTGATGGTTAGATGCTCAAAGACTTTCCTTGCTTGTTTCTACCAGTTTACTATACATATTGAAACATAAGTGGTAGTAAAGCATGTGGCCCAGTCTAATGTCTAATTTTAGAGGCTAGAACTGGTGCTTGGATTGAGGTTGAGATGAGTTTACATGAGTCCTAGTTGAAAGAATTTTGGCTTAGCTTTGGCGCTGCAGTGCAGTTATTTGTGCCATGTTGGCCAACACTTTTCAATAAAGCTGTGTACAAATCTGTCATGAATTAAACAATGAATCCCAGCTTCTTGATGCCCAATAACTTGTCTTCTGACCACAATTGTCTCGCCAACTCCCAGGCAGGAGGCGGTGGTCATCTCAGGAAAGAAACTCGCACGGCAAATTAGGGATGAGGTCCGGGCCGATGTAGAGGAATGGGTCTCAACCGGCCACCGAAGACCCCATCTGAGTGTTATTCTCGTGGGAGACAACCCAGCCAGCCACTCCTACGTCCTGAACAAGACACGGGCTGCGGCTGATGTCGGTAGGTGTTGGTTTTGTTTTGTTTTGTTTTTTTTGGTGGGGTGGTGCACATTCCTCATACGTGTGATTGGCAAAACTGCAAATGTTCGCCTGTGAGCGGAGTTGTTTTCACACTTCGACCTCCCACAGGAATCTCAAGTGAGACGATTCTCAAGCACACGAACATCAGTGAGGAGGAGTTACTGGACTTGATCGATAAACTCAACACAGACCCCCGCGTGGACGGTCTACTGGTACAGCTGCCTTTGCCAGGTACAGAAAAACTGGGAAATCCTGCATTGGGAGTCGGGTTTGCGTACGTGTGCGTGGCGTCTAGAAATCCAGTATGACGGCTGAATGCAAGCTTTGGTGAACGTGCGTTTGCAGCGCCTACGTTGGAGCAGAAAACTGCCCACCTGCCTGCTGTCTCTTGCTTGGATTTTCTTTCATGCTGGAGGCAGAATTTGCTCTGAGAAACTGAATTTGACCTTATCACGGTGAGCAGAACCAGTTGATAAAGTTGTTTTGACTGTAACTCCCTTTTGTTTGGACAGAACACATCGATGAGCGTGCAGTCTGCAATGCAGTTTCCCCAACCAAGGATGTGGACGGTTTCCACGTGGTCAACGTGGGCCGCATGTGCCTGGATCAGTCCACCATGCTCCCCGCCACTCCCTGGGGTGTCTGGGAAATTATTAAACGCACAGGTAACTATAGTGACCACCTTCTTCCTCTCAGATTCTTCAACAGCATTTTAACCCTTTTTAAAAGAAGCAAATTTTCTTATCTTCCAGGTATTCCTACTTTTGGGAAGAATGTCGTGGTTGCCGGACGCTCCAAGAACGTGGGCATGCCCATCGCCATGTTACTGCACACAGACGGCCGTCACGAGAGGCCCGGAGGTAGGACAGGATGTGTGCGTGCATTGCTGGGTGATAAAACTAAAGCGTGTGCACCCCTAACGCCTCTGTTCTCTGTGGCAGGTGACGCGACAGTCACAATTTCTCACCGATACACTCCAAAGGATCAACTTAGCCAACACACTAAAATTGCTGACGTCATTGTGGCTGCCGCAGGTTTGTTGGTTGGTTGGTCTGTTAATCTTTTTTGTCTTTTTGCTGTACTTCACTAACTGTACTCTTTGTGCGTGTGTGTGCGTTACTGACCTTTCAGGGATTCCAAACCTCATCACTGCAGACATGATCAAAGAGGGAGCGGCTGTGATCGACGTCGGAATAAACAGAGTGCAGGACCCCGTCACTGGAAAGAGCCGACTGGTTGGGGATGTGGATTTTGAAGGTAAGGCTTGAGAGGGTAGAACATATGTAAACACCTCCGTGCTCCACACAGGCATTTTGAATTGTGTTCCAATAAAATGTACCACAGGCAACCTTTTTCAACCCCCCTCCCTCCCCCGCGCACGCTCCGTAACAGCTGTATCCTATTACAGTACCACTCAAGTTCAGTGAGCTTTTTAAAGCGACCCACTCTTTCATAAATGTTTGTAAAAGCACACTGCATGGCTTTGTGCTTGATTTTTATACAGCTGTGGCAATGGGACTGAAAACGCCCAAATTCGAAGATTAAGCGGTGTGACCTACTAATAGTAGAGTAATAGTTTCTAGAAAACATTATAATGATGTTTGTTGTTTTAATTTGATTTCTATATGTGACAGTATGACACAAAATGTCAGATTTTTCCCATATTGAACATTTGCAATTCACATCCAAAAGTTATTACAACCAAGCTGGAGCTTGCTTTACATCCATGCAGATACATGCACAACTCTTTGAGTAATCCTGCTAGCAAAACGAATCAGTGACGTCGCTTCCTTCATGGAGGAAAGAGAATTAAAAAAAATGTTTGATAAACAAACATTTGGCACAGACTTATACTTTGCTTCTTGGAAGCTGAACGTGATCATGTTTCTGGAGCACATGCTTGGCATCATGTTGCCTCATTACCCGTGTTATTTATAAAGTGACCTTTATGTTGTTCTCATATTATATTTATACACACGATGATGGGAGGAGCTGATTTCTGGAAAGTTCCATTTAGTGTATATGGTCTTAATCGTCATACTTTTCCTGTGCACTTTCAGGTGTGAGACAAAAGGCGGGATTCATCACCCCAGTGCCAGGAGGCGTTGGCCCGATGACTGTGGCGATGCTGATGAAGAACACTGTCAAAGCAGCCAAGAATGTCCTCCTGTGTCCCCCACAGAGGATCCGCATGGCTGTTGCGTCCTAATTGGATCAAAACCACATCCCAGCAACAGTGACACATTCCACCGACGAGCCCACCCTCCACCTTCCCAACACTACCGTTATTATTATTACTATTTTTTTTAACTTGGAGCAACCTGCCATGCTCCCCTTGCACATGGACTGGAAAGATGATAGCCTTATGGATCTCTTTCTGCTGGTGTCGTTAACCTTTCAGGACTCCAGGTCCAGCCATAATTAGACTGTTACATTCACTGATGCAGCAGCATGTTTAATGTAACAGTGTTTTCAGTATTTATCATTTGCATTGTGCTGGGCTTTTAAGAATTTTCTGAGATTATGTTATTTATTGGTACAGTGACGCAGTGTTTGAACTTGAGTGAAAGCGGGTGGTGAGGATTAGCTTGCCGGGTGACTGAAGCCTTTCTGCTGTATGTCTTTCTATTAGTTTATCCTGACGTGCAAAGGGTGATAAGGGCTAATGTCATCAGGGGCAAGTATGTATATCCATATACAAGCTTTAAAGATTCACAATTGCCTTTGAGAAATCTTTGAAATAAATATTACAAATGTCTCCTAATGATGTTTTTCTGTTACTTTTTAACCGCCAAGTAAATGATGTCCGTGTTTCCTGCACTTCTTTCTAGTTCTTTTCTTTTCCTGTTTTGCTGTAACTGGATGCACCTCTCGCCTCGAGGAATAATCTTGGAGTTGAAGAGCAGTAAAGTTTGAGTTCACTGAGTTTGGCGCTCTGTCTCAGATTTACTGAATATACAAAAAATAATTAAGACTGACTGAAATCAGAAGGGAGATCTGGGGGATTTGGGTATTCACTAAAATTAAATATTGGTGTTTTTACTTTGTTTCAAACTGTAGCTTAAAACAAAGGACAATGACCTCTGTCTTAAAATTGACAGCATACACTCACTGGACATTAGGTATACTTTCCTAGCAATGGGTTGGACCCTCTTTTTACCTTCAGAACTGCATTAATTCTTTGTGGTCAGTTACATATGTATATACATTTATTTATTTATTTATTTATATAAAAAGTGAATAAAAACTACTAAAAAGAAGTGGATAGTTTGATAGTACTCATTACTTTTAATTTTCTGCTCTTGTGTTGAAGTTTGTGTCCCAGTTGCAGGTGGGTCACACATTGGCCTAAACCCTTTTTATATGACAAACACAGATATAGGCTGCTTGTTTGTTTATTTGAATAAAATTTTCAAGGAAATACTTCGTCCTGTACTTTGATTAGAGTGAAGATTTATAATTTGGGTGAGCCCCAGGGGTTAAGTGGGCAGTAGCAGTCTGGTATTAGGAAATGAACCAAAACTGAAAGAAAAAAAAAAAACAGACTGGAATTATTTAATTAATACATATCTCAAATAAAATAAGAAATAAGATAATAATAAAGGAATGTATTTAATAAAGATGTGTTTAAAGATGACGACACTTTGGTGTATTAGTTTGAGATGTGTAGATGACAGTGAGTCTATTACCTTGCAAAGTGTCTCATAATAAAACACTGCAACTATAATAATTGTTTGTTAATTTATTTCGATCATGTAAAGAATATGCAGGTACATTTAGCAATAATAACAATAATAATAATAATAATAATAATAATGAAAATTAAAATGAAGTGGGAACTAGGTTCCTCAATCCGAGAAGGCGACGGAAGGAATTTGACGTGCACACTTCCGTGTTTGTCGTTCAGTACGGTCTGTAAACAGTTGTTCCGTGAGCCATGGACCGCAGCAGACCATCCGACAGAGCTGGCAGAGAGAAAAAACACGAGAAGAAGAAACGGAGACGATCCTCGTCCTCCTCTTCCTCCTCTCCATCATCTTCGTCTTCCTCCTCCAACAGCAGGAGTCGGAGCAGAAAGAAGACGTTGCACAGGAGCAAAGGTTGGAAAATGAAATGCTAGCATTCACAGGAAAATCAGCCTCATCATCGGTTTATATTCTCTGTTTCTCCCCCAGATGAGAAAACACAAAAGAAGCGCAAAAGGCACTCGTCTTCTTCTTCCTCATCTTCCTCATCCACCCCTTCCTCCTCATCGTCGTCATCCTCGTCAAGTGATGAGAAGAAGAAGAGCGAAGCCAAGAAGAAGAAGAAGAAAAAGCAGCAGCTGAAGAAGAAGAAGGCGAAACTGAAGAAGCAGATCAAGAAGGAAAAGAAGAAGTTGAAGAAAAAGGAGAAGAAGATGAAGAAGAAGGCAGAGATGAAGCAGAGCCCAGCAGAGAAACCTCCATCCTACCTGGAGGTGTGGCAAACTGAGGAGGGGGCCGTGGAGCTCGGGCCTGGTAGGACATCACACACAACCCCACACTTCACTTCAGTGGATCAGCTGGTCACACGAAGTCTGACACAACAAAATAACTGTGGTTTTTATATTTGATAAATCAAGAGTGGGATTTGTTTCGCAGCTTGTGAAACATAAGGACTTATTAGGACATATTACTTCCTAGTCTAAGAAGTAGTGCACTGCAGAGCAGGATAACGCTGGCAGGCCACAAAGCTGCGGGAATGAGTTGTTGAAGCTGGGTTTAGAAGAGAGCTAATGAGCAGCACCATGACCTCATTCAGAGAAAGAGCACTACAGATGTGATGTTTGCTTTGAGAGTGTCAATGGAGATGTTTAAAGGAGGTCAGAAGGAGCTGCACTCTTTCTTTATAGATCTAAATAAAGCATTTGATGGGGAGCACGAATGAGGACACCAGCGGTAGGAGTTGCAGATGGGTTCAAGGTGGAGCGAGATTACATCGGGTCTGAACCCTTCTTGTTTATAGTGGTGATGTAAACAGACGACATTGAGATCCTGTTTTTGAAGATCTTTGATTTGTAGAAAGATTGATGTTTTGTTTTTTTAAATAATTTGACCATCACAAGTTGATTTCACAAACTGACTTGTTGGGACAGCGGCATTCTGTTACAGCACCACACTCAGGCTCTTTAGAATGACCCTTCTTTCACAAATGTTTGTAAAGAGACTGCATAGGTAGGCGTTTCTGGCACTGAAAGCACCTGGGTTTAAATTAAGAGCTGTGGCCCAATGTGTATTTCCTTTTTAGTTAACAAAAAATGTTTTTTTTTTCACATCTAGTTCATTCTGATGGTCTTGGTAAATCAAATCCCCATCAGTCTACTTGTCACTTGCATTTGTTGCCAGCCTAAATTTTAGACTAAAAGTCACTTTTCAACCATACATTCATTCAGCATTTATTTTGTAAACTTTAAGCACTTTATCTACCTCACATCTATGTTAGAATCACCATGCATGTTTTAGGACTGTGTGAGGAAGCCCAAGTTCCCGGAGGAAAGCACCTTTACCTTTATTAACTCAAAGTATATGTAGTCCCATTGCTCAATTCTGATATTCATTCTGATATCGTTATCTGGTTATTTCCTCCTCTCTTTTTTCCAAAAATGAATCTGGTGCATTTTTGCCTCTCCAGTCATGACAGATGAGCAGAAGGCCCGGCTGTCCACTAAGAGGCCCCTCACCAAAGAGGAGTACGAAGCCAGGCAGAGCGTGATCCGCAGGGTGGTGGACCCTGAAACAGGGAGGACAAGGTAAGCGGGGGAAAGCGTGCCACAAGAGTGGAAGTTTGGAGGAAGAATTCCCTCACCCTGGTTAAACTGGTAATCTTCCCCCCCCCTGCTGTCTTACAGACTGGTGAGAGGAGAGGGGGAGATCATAGAGGAGATAGTCAGCCGGGAGAAACAAAAAGACATCAACAAGGTATGACAGAAACCTTCCAGCTGTAATTGCAGTAATGTGCTGTTATAACTGTTAACAGCTAGACTCTATTCATCTCACAGCAAGCTACGAAGGGAGACGGGGATGCCTTCCAGAGAAAACTGGGCATCAACAGGTAGAAGATGACGTCACCTTCAGCTTCGTCAGCCTAAGAGCACCTTCACTAAACAGATCTGCAGAAAGTAACTCGTCAGCGTACTGAAATGCACTTCATATCAAATAATAGTGATAGCAAAATAATACTGTGATGCTCTCCTGAGGTACACACGGTAGAAGTCATAGTGAGCTGCTTGTAATGGCTGTCAGATGTAATAGAGTAGATAGAAAGTAGTGCCTACATAAAACTGCTGACAACAAGGATCTTACTGGGATTCTGTTATAGTAGATTTTTGATTTCAACAAAAGACATTGCTGCTGATTTTCTGTAACACTGAGCTTCATAGAAAAGTTTCATTTAATTTAATTATTGTGCAAAATCTTTGCTTTAAGTAATGATTAATCCCAGATAAGCTGTCTGATATCACTTTCTCACACCACCTCATGGTTGTCTTACATTTGTATCTCAATTTTTTTTTTAAATTTTAATTTCTCTAAATAAATCTCCATTTCTTTGTGAAAGTAAAGTCTGACTTCAGTTCCTGCTCTCATAAAAAAAAAAACAAAAAAAAAAAACCATCCTCGTTTCAACTCAGTGTGGAAGAAAAAAAAAAGAAGCCCAAATGCCTTAGTTGTTCTTTATATGTTCTTTATACACTGTACATAAAAACACAAGGGAATGGGTAAAATGTAGTTATCCAAAACCTACAAGATACACACCCTGTACAGGTAAAATATTTTCCAAGCATGACATTGTGTTGCAGATATACAGCCTTTGAACGATAACTGTTGGAGGCGGAACTGGAGACAGCGATGGGATTGCCTAATGTTGGTGAATTATGTCCCACTCTCTTCTTCTTCATAAATTTCCTTTAAAAAAGTCAAACAAACCAAAGTCCTGTTTAGAAAATATGGCCTCCATCTTTTCCCACAAAGTAACATGAACAACGTCCTTCACCGTGAAGTCGGCGTTCGTCCTCGCCGCACAATGGTCAATGTAAGGCAGTAAAACGGGAAATGTAAGGCCTCTGGTAATGTGTGTGTCGGTAGCAGAATCAAAGCGATCGTCTGCCCAGAGGTTGCAAAAACTGCACGGATCGCTTCTCTGGATTTTTAATATCTGGGTGTTTCAGATCAGGGAGCATGGTTCAGTAGCTGAAAATGTTAGATGACTGCATGTTTTCCAGGACTGACTGTCCTTTTTTGTTTTCAAGTTACAATAAATGTACAAAGAGCTATTCTTCAACAAGCAACTTTTTTCCTGTTCCTTTTTTTTCTTTTTTTTTTAAAGAGTTATGGCTTTAAGCCGATTCTTGTCAAGGTCAAAATGCAGAGGGACAGAAGTACAGCATGAGTCACACTCTCCTCAACCAGCTGACAAAAATATAAAATAAAATCAGTGCTGATTAAAGAGGTTACAGGTGCCTTTGATCTAGGATGTCTTATGTCGTCTATTGAAAATGTGAAGTGGATGAAATATTTAGAAACACATCTCAGCACAATACAATTCAACTGCATCACAAAGTGAAGCCTCTAAAAGGACCACTAATTTTAAAATGACACCTCTGAAGAGGGCCAGCGCAAACTGAAGGTTACATCATCTGTAAACGTGCTGTTCATCGCACTTATGTAAACCATTTGTTTTGTTACCAGGCTGACTGTTTTATAAATATTAAGTGTGTCTGTCTAGATGCCCATATTCTAAAATGGAAACATCACAACAAAACAGCGTGTCTCTCTGCAGGAGAAAACCCGACAGCCAAAATTAGGGCAGTGCCGTTTTAAGGTGAGTTACCCTCTGCAATTTGACGTCTGTAGACCATGTGCCTGTTCACCTGATTGTCAATGCACTGTGACGTGTTTCCTCAACAGTCTGTAAGATCTGGTGGTGCTACTCGGGAATATTGCACGTTTCCCCCTCGTGTCTGAGCCCATATTGGTCCACTGCTGTCAGCTCTGTCTGTACATGATTACTAGAGGTACAAATAAATGTTATTTAAATGAATAAATCACAATTTTGTTTTTAAACCAGCTTTAGAAAATAAATGGGCAACGGTATTAAAGCAAAATCTTAGCTCTGTGTTCCTACTTTCAATAGCGTATTGTACAGGATTTACAATTTGCACATTTCTTTTCCTAAAGGCGCAGCAACACAGAGAAAGAGACCTTAACCTAAGGAGGATTATCTATGAGAACATTCAACACCTCATTTTACAGCTTGGGGATAAACAGGAGAGAGACAAGCCATATCCTGAACCTCCCCCCCCAAAAAAAAAGTAAAAAAAAAAAAAAAAAAAAACAAAACAATATTTTGACACAAGCTCTGTTGATACAACTCTGGTGATCTGAGAGATAAAATAACAGAAATACAACACTGTGCCAGGCAAAGACCTCTGAGGTTTGGTTGCTGCAACTGAAGTTTGAAGGAAAGAGGGAAAAAAAACAACACATCATAGCTAAAGTAATCTTAAAACACATTTTGTTCACGAAAAAAATCCATACATTTTAAAATTTCTATAGTCTTAAATAACAACAAGTATCATCAATCAATAAAGTATATCCTGAATGAGACGGTGTTTACCCCCAGAGTAAAGAAGACACTTGAAACTGATCTTCAGTGGACCAGATACCAGATCTGCACTGTAATGTAACAATTATGTACAAGCCTTGTTAAGGCATTCAACTACATACTTACACAAACTAACCCATTTATTATGTTTCTGTTTTTACACAGGAGATCCCTTCTTTCTTCTGCATCCACAGACGGCTTATCCTTCAGCACTGCTTCACTTTGGCACTTTCCCTTACAGTACTGCTTTTCCCTATAGCGGAGCTGCACGCTACTCATTCAGGAGGGTACGGCAGCGATGGCATAAAGTGAAGTGTGAGATGCAATAAAACCCAAGAACAGTTTCAGCTGCAGCCACAGTTAAAGGGTAATTACGCGCTTTGCTTCGTGTTGCGTTACATGATTCTTCGTGTCTAAGGGGCGACCAGAAAACAAGCAGAACGGGAGCGTAAAGATGTTAACCCTCTCAGGCTCAAATTAAGTTTTTGTTGCTAATGCACAAAAGAATACCTGCAGTGGTACTTCTGAGTAAAAAAAACTCA